GTGTGCGTGCTCGCTGCCTGTCGTGATGTGCAACATCTGGCTGCAGCTGCACAAATAAAGTGAATTTTTAAACGAGCTCCTTGCACATCCGTTGGTAGCAGCAGGAGTCCTGACTGTACTGACCTGTTGTGCGCTGTATTTTAATTCGAAGAGCTGTATCTGTGTCGAATATCCGTGAAATATCCATAGCACACTATGCTGCTGAATTAATGGTAAAATGAGAGTCTTTGTTTGCATATCTTAATTATGATGGAGTAAAACAGGGACTGAGAATGCCCAGCTATGCAGTCGTACATGCAGATCCTGCAATGCCAATAATTGAGACCATCTCTGCTGTTCCTAGGAGTGTGCATCAGCCTTAGCCCCACGAACAGACTGGAATTACTGACTGCAGTAACCTACCTGACTGGTCTAATTATGCTTAGCAGTTTTTATTAGGAGTTAGAAGAAATGAAATTCCTCTACTTGCAGTTCAAAGGCATGTCTCTTTGTTATCCAGGAATTCAATTGATTGAAATTCTCCTGACTTGGCTTCTGGAGTCATCTTTTCTTGGTCATGGCTACTTCTGGTATGTAGTATTATGCACTAAATACTCTTCATGTTTTTTTCCTCTTAATTTCCTCAAAAATAATTTAACATCTAATATAGTGAAATGAACTGTTGTCACTATGCTTTTCTCCCTTCTCTAGGCTGCTTTGGAGAAGCTGTTAAAACTGGGCGCTTGTGAAAACGTACCAAAAGCCCTCTCAGACTAGGCTGTTAGCAGATGGGCCTCAGCTCATCTGCATGCCATCTGCTCCGTTAACAGAGCTGACTATCATGTAGACATCTCGGTGATCCAAAACTAGTGTGCTGGTGCAACTGACACCGTGCAGGACTGGCATGCCTCTTCAGAGGTGTTTGAAGAGAGAACATTGGCTTATGTATTCCTTTGAAAGCTGGTTTCAGTTCTTGGCTGTGTCAGGTCTTGGGTGAATGTCTTGACCTCTTCCTCAGATTTGTCATTGGAGAAATAATGATTTTTTTTCCTTTGAAGTACTGATAAACTTGTCTTTGTGACCCTGGATATTGAAGGCTAAAATAAGCCTTCAAGAAGTCTCTTTGAGCTTTGCGGCATTGAATTTTTGAGGGCTCTCGTTGCAAGTTGCCTGAGCCAGTTCCTGGCTTAAAATACTGTTTGTTTGTTTTTTTCCCCATGTTCTTAGATATTCAAGTGAAGGAACTGGAAAAGCGTGCTTCTGGGCAGGCCTTTGAGCTGATACTCAGTCCCCGCTCAAAAGAGGCAGTCCCAGAATTCCCTCTTTCTCCCCCAAAGAAGAAGGATGTGTCATTGGAAGAGATTCAGAAGAAGTTGGAAGCAGCAGAAGAGAGACGCAAGGTAAACTTGAAACAACAGGTTAAGTGAGCAGTGACTGGACTGTGCAAGTTGTGGTGTTCTTTTTTTAAATTTACTTGTCCTTTGGGACAAATGATAAGCAGTTTGTATTGCAGTAAATGGAATATTAATTTAACTTTGTTGGAATCTCTGAGGCTCTTATGAGTCTTCGTTACAGTCTGTGAGGCCGTAGCTTTATTCCCAAAGTGGTGTTGAATGGTCACTTGAAAAAACAGGAGCAAAGGTTCAGTTACGAGGGGGTACTCTTTCAGGATGAAGCTGTTTTTTCTTGTCACAACATCATAAAAGATTAATTTTCTGCTAAAAAATGTAGTGAGAAGTCTATAATGAGAAGGTTTGCCAGTAGAATGTCTTACTTAATGTAAGGTTTTGCTGTTGAGATGTGGCTTAGAGCCCTGGGCTGTGCAGAAGCTCACTAATTGAAGCACAGGCTCCTGCGTGACCAAAATCGCAGTGATTCACTGTTCTGAGAAGCAGGAATCTTCTAGGAAAGATCTAATGATCTTAACATAAAGATCCATGTTCTTTTTTCCAGAAAAATCCCATTTAATAAGACTTGCAAGTAATGACAGAAGCTTAACTTTCCTGGTAGTCCGTAATGGTGAAAATGGGTTATGTGGGTGGAGGAAGCACCAGGGAGCTCTGTCCTGCGTCACAAAGTTATGCTGCTCTCTGGTAAAGCAGCAGAAAATCTTTTATCTCAGGAGTTGTGAGCAACTGGATTGTAGTTGTCTCTGTAGTTTGTCTGTTTTCTGTTCAAAGCCTGCGTCCTCTGTTTTGTTAGTCTCATGAAGCGGAAGTCTTGAAGCAGCTAGCTGAGAAGCGGGAGCATGAGAAAGAGGTGCTTCAGAAAGCAATTGAAGAAAACAACAACTTCAGCAAAATGGCAGAGGAGAAGCTGACCCACAAAATGGAAGCTAACAAAGAAAACCGCGAGGCACAAATGGCTGCTAAACTGGAACGCTTGAGGGAGAAGGTGGGTGTAGAGTCTCAGTTCTCCCTTGGGAGAGAGTTTATCCATGCTCCTTCCTGTGAAAACTGGGTAAAAAAAGCCAGGTAAATGGCCAAGTGAGGGGAGTGCTATGAGTAGAGAGACATCCTTGGGAGTTCTGTGGTGGTCTAATCTTAAAAGATGATGAAATCTGCAAAAGGCTTTGCAGAAATGTTCCTCTTGGGGTGGAGGGGACGGATGGTGTTAGAGCAGCACCTCACTTTCTCTTACGAAGCTTCATCCTGTAGCCCCTGTCAGAAACCCACCCTTGCAGGCTCCTGCTGGGAGCTGGGGGGGTGGGCAGCAAGCCGGGGCTTGCTGTGCCCACCCGGGCGGCTGACTGCTTCCCTGCCCGTGTCTTTCAGGACAAGCACATTGAAGAGGTTCGAAAGAACAAAGAAGGCAAAGACCCTGGTGAGGCTGAAACTGACTGACTTCATTCTGGAAACTGACTCTCCCCCTCCTCTAAATATCCAAAGACTGTACTGGCCAGTGGTTTTATCTTTGGTTTTGGTTTTTTTTGTTTTGTTTTTTTTTAAGTTTCTAGAAACTGATGTAGAACTGTAAAATTAGATCCAAACTGTACACTTTCTTTGGGGGCTAGAGGGGAGACCTGACATGTTTCACTTTTTCTAAAGTGTTGTCTTTCCAGTGTAGCTATCTTCTTGTTGCATCCTTTTCTACTCCAGTGCGCTTGCTGCTGGGTTGATGGCTAGTACTGTATCAGCTCTGTAAGACGTTTGTGGAAGGAATATGTAGAATACTGTTCCATGCTCAATATCTGTTACACTTCAAAAATCTGACTCTGTCCCAGTCTGCTAAAATACTGCTGTAACTGAGTGACTAAATAAAGCTGCACAGTGCTGTTATCATGAGAATGGCTTCTGGAAAATGACGTGAGAAAATCAGTTGGCCAAGGTCTGCGACAGGCGTCCCTGTCCCCGCGGGGCGGAAGGGTCCGTGGCAGTGCTTTTCTGTCCGTCCCTGGCCACGCTGCGCGAGCGCCTCTTCCCCAGAGCACCCTCATTGTCTTAATTCCACAATCCCAGCTTTGTTTTGACACCTCGGCAGCGGTCAGCTGCTGTGTGGCTTTGTTAAAAAGAGTTCAGAACCACCTCCCGTTGGATGCTGACACTTCAACAAACAAGTCCTTGTTGCCACATGACTGATCTGAGCCTTTCTTTTTTTTGGTAAGGGTTTCTAGAAGATGGCTTGTGCTATTGAATGGTGACTTTTGTACCGCGTCCTGCAGTGTCAGGGCACAAAAGTCAGAAACCTGTTCTGTGCCGGGATAGGAGTTCTCTTTGGTTTGGTGTCTGCCGCGGATGTGTGGGTATAGTAGTATGTGGTGCTGCAGGGCGAGTCTGAAGATTGACCTCAGCCCACAGGAGATGTGCGTCTCTGTTTGCATCTCTGTTTTTCTGGGCTGCGAGAAATAGATACGGCTGTGCCTGCGCTCTGAGGAAAGGTGCTTTTTAGGTGGATGGGTCCAGAGGTGCTGCACTGCACGGGGGCCTTGAAACCCACCCAACCCGCCAAAGACATCCCAGGTACTCCTGCAGTAGGGTCGGGGTGTGGGAACAGCCTCCTCACGCCTTCGGTACAAACACCCTGCTGGGAAGTACTCGGCTTTGGGAAGTGTGTTCTCTCGGAGTGGGCAAGCGTTGGGTTTCGCAGCTCCTGTGAGTGCTCCGTGAGGCACGCTCTGTCCTGTCTTCCCCATTTTGTGTCCTTCATCTTGAGACTTGGCTACCAGGTTTGTTTTCAGGTGAACTCCACACCCGGAGCCTCTGGCATTGCCTGGGTGACAGACTGAAACGTTCTGAGGGTGGAAAGCTGGTAGGTTTGTTGTTGTTGTGCTTTTTGGGGTTTTTTTGTTTTGTTTTTTTAAGGGGGTGATTGAGTGCTGGACCACTTGACCTGTCTTCTGGGGCTTGATAAAGAAGGAACCTCAGTTTTAGAAAGCTTTCATGCATCACACTTGCATCAGAGTTCTACTTAACCAAAAGCTGATACTACACTCTGAATGAAAGAACAACAGTGAGATAAAGTCACTGTTGGTGCGCTGGAGGGCCGGAGTCGGATCCTTTACCTGAAGGATTTTTGGAAGTGTTACGATACTTCATCATTTAAGGTAAGAAAGACTGTATTTCTGTCTGTTGGGGAGCAACCACCCACGAGCAGTGCAGGGTTTTGGGTTGTTAATGGCACATACCGACATGGTGTGAGCAGAGAGCACAGGGATGGGGTCAGGATCCACCCGGGGAGGTGAGGGGGGGGAATACAGAGCTGACCTTTGTGATGCAGCCTTGAACCCCGCACCGTGTGCTTAGGAAAGGAGTTGAGTGTCTCTAGTGCCACATAATGGAGGTCTAAGTGGTTGCTGGATCAGTTCCTATATACAAGATGAGGCATAATTAGCAATCAAAAAAAAAAAACAGTTCTTCATTTTAATGTATTTCTTTACCTGCTGAGAAAAGACCAAATGGCCCAAATGCCATGTGGGGGTTCCCCTCCTCCTCTCTTCAAGGGGTGGGGGAGGACGGTGACAGCACTGCCAAACCCCAAATGGTGTTAGAAGCACAAAGAGTCAGTAAATGTGATTTTTTTTTTTTTGACTTGCCAAAGGTGTCGGATCTCAGCTTGGGGCCTTCTGTTCCCTCGCCGCAGTTCTGCTTTACGTGGCGCCTGCGTTATGTTGAACTTCATGCCCAGGGTCTGAGCCGAGTCGGGTTCCTCCGGGAGCTGCTGGGGGGGAACGGATGTTTTGGGGGCTGCAAATAACGAGAGGAGGGGAAGTGATCTGGGACCAGAGCAAGGGGGGAAACCAGCCGGGAGGAGATGGTGCTCGGGCAGGAGAAGAGAAATAACGGTGTCTGGTGGGGAAAGCTGGACCATAAACAGGTGGCTTTAAAAGAAAAAAAAAGACAAAATTAAGACAAAAGCTCCACGGCTTGTTTCCCAGCCCGCCGCGCGGGA